TTTATATTTACTGCGGGAAGAAACGCTAAGAATGGCGTTTTATAAGGAAAACGCTTGAAAGCCCTCTCCGCCTGTGAGCAAAAACAAAACCAAAAATCCCACCCTTTCCTATTGGTATTAGTGTGTAGTGTAGTCAATAGTTTTGTTGTGTGTGTCAGAACAATGAGGCGACTGGTGAATGTTACAGGTGTTACAGGAGTGATACATCTCCTGTTGTCACACCTGCAGGTATCAGGCTGTTGTTCTTCTTTATCTCACAGTGGACAGAAATTGTTTTTGGAGTGGCACAAATAATTTGTGTGGCATCAAATATGATGCAAAACAGCTGATTGTTCTGTAAATAGTTTGAAATGTTTATTTAATTTGGCTGTATTTTTAGGTAAACAGCTGCAAAAACTGTTGTTTGCAAAACTCAGTAACTTTTTTGAAGAAGTAACTATATAATTAATTGCCCAACATTGGTCATTATATACTATATTTTGCAGAGAGAGAGAGTTACAGGACTCTCTCCGAGACCACAGACTCACAATACAAGTCAGAGCTTTATATATAAAAAAAAGAAAGTTGGGTTTTCAAAATTGGAGTTCAAGTTATTGTTACTGCACAGGTCAATGACTAGATTTGTTTTACATTTTCATTGGAAGTGGGCTAAAGCAGTTAATTAAAAGTAGTCTAACATAAATGTAAACGCTGTAATTTGATTATTTTAATAAACCATGTAACTTGGATGGATTCGATGCTGGCGTGACCACAGTGCACACGTCTGATGTTGCTCACAGTGGTCCAAGGGATCACTCAGGGAGTTTGTGCGTTCGCTCAGACACATGAAAAATTAGAAAATTAGAGGGAACATTGATTAGGGGGAGTGGAAACACATGGGGAAACAGCTGACACTAGACTGACATGATACGACAAAGGAAGCAAAGCTGACTACACTGACATAGGACACAGACTTTCAAAATAAAACAGGAAACACGCGACTCAGACATGACAATATACACTTGACATCATAAGACATACAGCTTGAACACATAAAGGGCAAAGGGAGACTAAAACACAGCTGTAGAAGACACAAGGGGACTTGAAATAAACAAATGAGCTCAGAACCTAAAGAACTTAAACATAACATCCAAATAAACTAAAACTCAAAACGCTGGGTCAATAGACCCAGAAACATGACACAAAGAGAAGCTGAGAGGGAAAATATAGAATTTGAGGGACCAGTTAAAGTTGATAAGGTTCATCTTTCCTTTATCAGCTTCCTGAATTTGTTTATTCAACTTTGTTTATTACTGTAATGTAAAAAAAAAAAAATTGGAATTGAATCTTTTTTTGGATGATTATTTTTGTAAATAAGGAATTTGTATTTACCGAAGCAGATGATTTTAAATTCCAGCATAAACCGACCAACAAGCCCATAAATATCCATGCATCAAAAACTAAATAAATAAAACGGACAAAAAAGAGCATGTGTTAATAATAATCAAGGAGCTCATTAAATATCAGTTAATCACTTAAAAATGAGATGTGTTCTAAAACCTTTGACTGGTGATCTATATTAAGAATGACATCTATTTTACTACATTATGAAATAAAATAATCTAAATAAATTGGGATTTTGCAAAAGTAATTAGAAGAATATTTCCATTAAAAATATACTTGTGTTTTAATTTCTCTCCTCTGCTATTTGGAAAAGATGCTCTGGGCTGAGAAGATGAGAAATGAGGAAACTGACAGAAAACTCAAAGAGGTAAATCTTTTCACCCAAAGCGTTTAGCTGCTGTCATCTCTCTTTTATCTCTTTGTATTCAATCCAAATTTAGAATGTTTTTACAAAAATTAATTTCCCACATATTTCAGTTCATAGCTGTGATCTTTTTCTTCATCTCTCTTCTGTCCTTTAGTTGGTAAAGCAGCTCGAGGAGAAGAAGAAGAAAACTGAGGAAACACTCAATGAGGTAAATCTTTGTCACCCAATCATCTGCTATTACAGTGGCTTGCGAAAGAATTTGCCCCCTTGAACTTTCCCACATTTTGTCACATTACAGCCACAAATATGAACCAATTTTATTGGAATTCCACGTGAAAGACCAACACAAAGTGGTGTACACGTGAGAAGTGGAACGAAAATCATACATGATTCCAAA